AGTTGGATATAACTTTAGGATCTGTAGGCATTTAATTTTGCTAATAACCATGACATATGAAAAATCTATTTATTTGTATTGTGGAATCTTTAGAAATTCACAAGGAGCACCAACTTTTTACCAAGAAAGGAAATTTGATATCATCGTTTCTTTAGAAAATGTTCGAACTAGTGAAAACGCATCAAATACGGAGCAAAATTCGCATAATATATTTTTTTATAGAAGCTCGTTGAGTACAACTTCAGCGAATATTTGAAGAAAAAATATTATGTGATTTTTATAAAAATGAGTTTTTAAAACTCTAGCTCAGTCTACTTTTAATATCTGAATACGTCACTGACAAGCCCAATATAACTCAGCTCAATGTAGGACCCAAGAAAATTGAAGGCAAACTATTTTTTTTGAACAAACACTGTAAGCCGTGGTGATTGATTTTTCTTGATTTTGAGTAAAAATATTTGTATACAAACATACACTTAATACACGTCGCAACATAAATGTCTAATACACGTCCGCTAGAAAATTGTGCCACGTTTGTTTATGAAATTTTAAAAAAAAATTCAACATTTTAACTTAGCTATTTTTTAACTCAACTTTAACATCCTATTATCATCAATATTATCAATATAATTAAATAATATCAATCAATCATTCATACACATCACATCATCATTAATTCACTATTCATAGTTTTGCTATGAAGCTATCTAATGGCTCGGCTTATGGAGCAATCCACACTTATTCACCAATAGTGTATTGACACGTGTTCTACAATAAATACAATTTGGACAGGTGTCAATGCATTAAGTGATGGATGACTCCATAAGAGAACCATCCGGTGGCTCCATAGAACTTTTGTCACTATTCATTAACTCACATTATTTTAATTAACCATCACTTCAAATCATATCTTTCCTACTTCTACATCAAATCAATTTTAATTATTTACTTTAGATATTATTTTAATATACACACTCACAATAAATCATACCACTTTTTTCAAAATTAACCAAAACAAGCCAAAAAATCCGAACAAAACAAAAAATTTCTATAAACAAACATGCTCTTGACCTTCCTCCCCGGCCCACTTCCTACTAAATCCCAGCTTAAGGAAGATATAAGTTTTAAGGGCGTGATTGTATATATTTTTCTACAGTAAATATCTCACTAAAAACTCAAATTTAACTAAACTCTATTATCTCCAATATTATTAATATAATTAAATAATATCAACCAATCATTATTACATATCACATCAACTTTAATTCACTATTCATCCACTCACATAATTTTAATTAACCATCACTTCCAATCATTTTCTCATACTTTTACATCAAATTAACTTTAATTATTTTAATTTAAATATTATTTTAATATATCCACTAACAACTAACCATACTATTTTTTTTTTCAAACTTAACTATAGTTTTTTAAAAAAGAAAAAACTAATTTTTTGCTAGTTGAATTCATATCCAATCACCCCATAAGTTTCTAGAGCGAAGTTCTTACCGTAGTACGGAAATATCATATTACTATGCGATTTCAGTAATCACCGAACAGCACTGGAGTAATGGAACAGGAGAGGATACTCTCGTTCTTTTTTCTTTGACCAGACTAAATTACGCAAAAGGACATTTTGAACGGGAGAGTTCAGTCAGTATAAAAAAAAAAAAAAAAATGTCTGCAATTAAGTGTGCCTTTTTTGCCCCTTTTTCTCAATTTCGGCGAATACTAATATATAACGTTAGAAGAATTAAAATTTTACATAAGAGCACCCACAATGCTTTGGGTTTCTTAGAAAAAAGTTACATGCCATGTAAGGAATAGACCTAGTCTATAAAAAAGTGTTCTCCAATGCAATTAAAAATGGAACTAGTCTAGCTTATGTGGCAATAAAAAAATGAGACCTAGTCCACACTTGGGTCTATTTTAGACCCAAGTACAAACCCAAGCAATCATCATTTATTCCTCATTTAATTTTTCTTTTAATAAATGAAATATACTAGAGCATTTTTATTGGTTGTCATGTATTCTAGACCTAGTACTTTTTGGTTTTGCATTGGATAGATTTTGGTTTTTTTAGTTTAGGTTTGTCCATGTCATTATGGACTTAAGTCTATTTATTTGCCACATATGCAAAAAGAGACCCAAAGCATTGTGGATGCTCTAAGAGTGCTTGGATGAGATGGCTTGGGTCTCTTCCAACTTAATCAGTGGTCTCGAGTTCCAGCTCTGGGAATGCAGCAGTGTTAAAACTCTTGAGGGAGAGCTTTGCCGCTCTTATGGTCCTACCCGGCTCGATTCTGGATTAAAACTCTTGAGGGAGAGCTTTGCCGCTCTTATGGTCCTACTCTCGATTCTGGAAAGTCCGTGTACTAAAAAAAGAAGAATTACAATTTTGCTTCTCTCTTCTGCTTCTTTTTCCTCTCTCCAAAAGCGTGAGAGGTGTCAACTTTTTTCAGTGAGTATGAAGTCGCCGCTGGGGAAGCTGAAGAAATTGGGGCTGAATAAAGGCGCGGCGGACGAAGATTGGGATCACCATGTCTCGGTGCGTATGGATGGGTTAAGTCAAGCAGCAAAGGTGCGTCTTTGTCCGATTGATGCGTTCATCTTGTTGTTGTTGTTTGGGTTTTCCCTAGTTCTTCATCTGACTGTTCGATGAAGTTCAGGCCTTAGGTCAATTTCATTGATAAATGGTGCATTAGCTTACGGTCAGTGCTGATTGGCAGTCTGTTGAGTTGGCTGATTGTGTGTGAATAATCCTGTCTAATCGTAACACTCTAGGGGTTCTTGGATTTTTTGGTTGATTTGTGGACTGATACTAGTAGAGAATGTGACTGGAAGTATTCTAAATGCATAAAACCCCATTTAATTGTTTGTTTTTTGTTCTTTTCCGCTCGATCTGATTCCGCCAGCCCCACATTCAGATATGACTGATGTTATTCGGCTCAATGTGGTCTGTGTGAATTGTGAAATACATGTTAATAGGTGAACGTGAACTAGCAACATTGTCGCTATGTCATACAGCTTTAATTTGATCTTGTTCTTCAGGTTGATATTTATTGTGTACTGATTCTTGAAGGGATTATAATTGGAACATTGTGCCCATGGTTATTTTCTTCTGCGGAAGTTTTCTGTTCCTTACACAGTGACTGACTTATGTTTTGATGGTTGCATTGTGCTTGCAGGATATGAAAGACATGCGGACATGCTATGATGGATTGCTCTCTGCAGCTGCTGCAACAGCAAATAGCGCTTATGGTACTTTTTGCTAATATGCTAGTTTAAGCTATACATAGGAGAAGAAGTTTCACTCTTATGCTGCCTTGCTTAGTACTTTGCTCCATTATATTTATTCATATTCAGAGCTTATATGCGCACTTCATTGGAAATTTAAGAATATTGGATGTGTATTGCTACAGTAAGTTCTTAGGACATTGCACACTATATGCAATCAGCCTTTCTCATCTAAGTTTCGGTTCCTGATTCCTCTATTTATGTTTTAAGTTTGTAGCTAGACCTATGTTCTTTTCATGACCTGACACAACACTTATCAAAGTAATTACGGAATAATGCATATTGGAATTTGAGCCACCATATGTTATGAGAAAAAGGGCGAAGTCTGGGAGTGGAAAAAAAAAAGGAAAAGTAGAGGCTGCCAACTTGAATGGTGAAAATTGATGTTGCGTTTAAGCTCGAGATGACTTTGTAGATTTCTCTGTTTTTTTTATCCTCGTTGCGTTATGAGCCACAACAGGTGTGAAATATTTAAGCGGTTAGTGTTTTCATTTCAGTTTAATGAACAACCCTGATGAAAAAGTATTAGATACTGTACAGGATTGCTATATATAATCTTCAATTGATATTGCTGTCCCCATATAACTTTATTTTGAATATATTGACCTTTTATATTAGTAACTAGGATGTATTAAAAAAGATGAAAATAAATAATATATGACTGTCAAATTCTCAAAGAAATGAGAGTGGAGAGATTGGTGGTATTGTTGCAATAATATATGTACATAGGTCATAGGTGTGAAAAATATAACCAATTGTACATACATTACCTCAATTTCTTTTATTTATAATAATGATTTATTTGGAAGAGGTTAAAGTGTTAAGAAGGGAAGGTGTCTAATGAATCGTTATATATCTAAATCAATACATCACCCGAGAAGACCTAATTTATAGATTTGGTGTCTGCGTAACTTACTAAACACCATGATTAGACACTTACACTTCTACATCAACAATATGGTAATCTCTCGTTTCAGAGTTCTCGGAGTCACTGCTCGAGATGGGTAATTGTCTATTGGAGAAAACTGCAGTGCATGATGATGGAGAAACTGGTGAGGGAACCAGTTCCTCTACCTGTATGTTACTTCCGTTGATTTCATACTTGACTTTGAGTGATAGCATGATATATGTGTCAGTTGAATCCTAGATTTATTTATACATTTTTATGAGGTGCAGTTGCTTAACCTAACCAAACGAAACTTTTCCAAAATTGTCCCGTCATTTTTCTCTTGGCTAAAGTCAATCTGTTAGTTAATGAAGATGATTGTTAATAGATCTCTGAAGCAAATTAAGCTCAAGACTTGCAGAGTGGAGTTGATCCCTATGTAGAGCTATCTGGAAAGAAAAGTTAATTTCTAGAATACTTTCTAATCACTCTGCAGGGAGTACATTGTCCTTGCTGGGAAGAGTGCAGCTTGAGCTTCAGAAACTTGTTGACAGCTATGTTAGTGTTCATTGTATTTTCAATGGTTAGTGTTTACATATTTTGTGCAAGAAAACTCGGTTGTAACTTGATATCTTCTGCATTTCAGAGGTCTCAAATTATCATGACAATTACTCACCCATCAGAGTCTCTCTTGAGTGAGTTGCGGAAAGTGGAGGTTGATACACAATATCACCCAAATTCTTTTTAGTTTTGCAAAGAACTATATCAGAACTTGAATATCATATATTTCTGTACGTTTCAAGTTTAGCCAATCAATGGACTTCTCTAAAGATAACCTGTATCTGTATATATAATCAATGCTTGAGCTTTAGAATTAGACGCTGAGATACTATTTATTTGCTAATGAAACTCGTAAAATAAACTTGACTAGATTTATGCTGTCCAACATAATATATACTGGATTGGGATGAAGAATTAAATGTTAAGTTCTCATGGATGCACTATGAAAACTTGAATTGCTTGAATACCTATATTGATGGCCTTGTGCTTATTCTTTTATGATCAATTCAATCTTCGGTCAAAACACATGTGCGCATTGATGCTGTTAAATCATGGGATCACTCAGTCAAAGTACAATTTTGTGAGTAGATATCTTTGCTGTGCATTGACTTGTTCCTTTTCTTGTAATGATAATTATATTTCACTGGCGCAGGAAATGAAATTGCAATGTGATGAGAAAAGGTATATGCTTTTAGTTCTCCACTCTTTTAACCGATATATTCTCCATTGTGTCAGTTATATTGAATTCAATGTGTTGAATGACTTGCAGAGAGATCTTTGAGCACATGGTAGGACAGTTTAAAGAGAAAGGGAAGTCGAGACATGGAAAGGGGGAGACTTTTACCTCAGAGCAACTACGGGCAGTTCGTGAAGACTACGACGAGGCGGCAAGGCTGTGTGTTTTCCGAGTAGCATCATTGAAGCAAGGGCAAGGCCGGAGTCTACTAACACAGGCAGCCCGTCACCATGCGGCACAGGTTCCTTTTTTGTTATTTATGTGGTCTCATTTTTGTGTAGTCCCTTTTCCAGTCTTCCGAGTTTCGTGATTTTTGTTCCCTCATTTTTGAGAAAGCAGTTGAATTTTTTCCGGAAAGGGTTCCAATCTCTTGATGCCATCGAGCCACATATTAGAGATGCTGCAGAAAAGCAGCACATAGACTACGAGCTATCCGAATCAAACGATGGTGAAGAACGTGGTGATGAGAACAGTTTCGAGGCTAACGAAGATGGAGATCTGAGTTTTGAATATGACCCGAGCAGAAAGGACTTGGATAATACTAGTGGAATGAGGAACTCTATGGAGGTGAGCTATTTTGTTGGAGCATTGTTCAGTTCACATTCTCTGTGCCATACAAGTCTATGAAAACTAAATTTCTTAATTCGAATACGAGGTTGAAGGTTAGAACGTGTATCAGAAAGTCTGATGGAAGTCTCCAATTTTATCTTTTCTATTTTAGGTCTTTTTGTTTTTCTTTGTTTTTTTTTTTCCACGGCTTTATAAAGTTTCAAAACTTTTTGGTTTCTTTGCTTTTATTTTTCATTTTCTAGGGTTCATTTTCTAGGTTTTTAGTTGTCCCAATTTTGACCATCTTTGCCTCTGAGACTAATCCCTCTAGATTGAGTTAGGTCTTGTATTGAAAAAACTCCTTTTCTTTTAGTTTATAGCTTTAGAAATGATTCCTCTATGTTATTTCGTTTTCATAAATTCGGCAGTTAGACCTATCGGCTGGTCCAAGTCAACAGATGCCACAAGCCAAATACACCGAGGTCCAAATAAATGTCGCCAGAAATCAAGGGGATCAAACAGTCAACCGACAACATAGAGCTGGCAGTCATTCTGCTCCATTATACGCTGAGAAATTCGACCCAGCAGAAAGAATAAGGGAAATGCAGAAATTTAGCAGCAGGCATGTGCTGCCCACCCCAGTTGACGCCAAGGGTTCAATAATAAATAGTTCAAGTACCACCACAGCTTCCGTTGGGCCCCCTTCCAGAAACCCGTGGCATTCATCCCCACTAGACATTGAGAAGCAAAAGAAATCCGCTGACGACTACATACCTGTGCAAAACAGCAACAACAAGAAGAAGCATTCTCTCCCCTTACCCCGTCCTCTGCCCGACGGGCCAGGCTCCACCCAGCAGCCCGACATGCAGCCCGCATTATCCGAAGGTCAGAAGGTCAAAAGGCAGGCTTTCTCGGGCCCAATAGTCAGCAAAGGTTCTTCTTCCAGTAAACCACTTGTACCTGCCGGTGAAGCGTCTTCCGGGTTGCACAGCAGGGCCCCGTCGTCACTGAATGTGTCCCACAACGCCCCACCTCCGCTCGTGTCCTCTCCAAAAATTAGCGAGCTTCACGAGCTCCCGAGGCCACCCGACTCGCTGGGCCCTGCCAGGGGTGCGTTCCGGGTGGGATCCCCTCTCCCTCTCCCACAGTTGACTGTTTCCAGAAGCTTCTCCATTCCCTCGAGCAGCCAGAGAGTGAGAGCTTTTCATTCGGGAAAGCTGTTGGAGTCTTCTCAGCCCGCGATAAGGGGGGAGGAAGCTGGTCCATCTCCTCCATTGACACCTATGTCCCTGTCGAACCTCAAGTGACTGAGAGATGTGGGTGCAGATTTGAGAGGTAGAAGTGTGAAACTTTTGCAGTCACGTCTCGTGTTATGAAAATGAACTGTTTTTGTATCTTCAGTATATATAATGCTGTTTAATGATGATTGATTGGTGCATTTAGTTAGAGGGGAAAGAAAAATGAATGAGCTGACTTCTTTCTCTTGGTCAACTTTTGAAATTAATTAACATCTGAAAATCTCATTGGACGCCGGGCGGCAGCTGCATTGTCGTGCACCAGTCGAGTAAGTGTGCCGTGTTTTGTTTTGAGGGCTGATGTGTGTAGGCCAGTGTACTTTGATATGTCTAGATGAGTCCATTTATAATACCAGATCCCTTGTTTCTTTTCGAAGATTGTGGCCCGGTGATTAAACCGCAGCCTGAGGTGGGCCACAAAATTATCGTGCATTATTCTGATAATAATATCAGGCCCACTCGCTTGGGTCTTTTTGGTTCAAGATTTTAGAAAAGTCTAACTATTGGATAGGCCCTGAAATACCTGATGAAGTGACCATGATGACCTTTGAGCAGGATGTATTTACAATGTAAGCCACAAGCGAACAACTAGAAATTCTCAACTCTTAAGAACTCAACCACGATGTTAAGAATTGTGTATCGAGCTCTCAAATTTGTGTAAAAATTTGCATTGACGGCCTTGATTTTGACATGGTTTTATGCACAAAAACGAGAGTATTTTATATTTATGAACTTGATAAAAAGAAAATGTAATACATTAGTTCCTAAATACTAGAAAACCACCAAAAATCACAAGTTACATTTAAATTTAAACACAAACACACACACACAACTAATCTGCCTAAGACAACCTCCAATAACTTCTTGGTCGTTGCGACGCGACACTTTTGCCTTACACTTGGACTCTGTCGTCGCGAAGGTCTCCGCGACACAGCTCGTTGCGTGAGCTTTTTGTCTCATCTCGACGCGACGCCCTGCGAAGTTTCACCTCTGCAATCTTGACGACCCCGCGACATCATCTCGCGGCGTGAGCTTCTGCCCAGTTGCGGTGCGACTCCCTGGTAATTTTTCTAGATTTTGTCGATATTTGATTCGTGCAAGTCTCGATCGGTTATACGCATTCTTGAGTCGACGACCTTTATCCGCATCATTCTCATCCCCTTCACGATGTCCTTGTCCTCAAGGACAAAATGGAAATTCGTGTCCTCTTCCGAAGAATCCTCCCAATCGACCAGTACCTCCCAAAGAAATCGATTAGCCTTCTTAACCCTTCAATAATCTATTGCTCGAGTTGGTCGTCCTATCAAAGTACCTTCGGGATTCACCGTCGGTAACTTTGTATGTGTTTCATGATGATCACCCACACTTTTCTTCACATGCGACACGTGAATAACCAGACGAATTTGGGACTCCGCCGGTAAATCGAGCCGATATTTCACCTCTCCTACACGTTCCCTGATTTGGTACCATAGAAACGATTGCCCAACTTGAATAAAGCCTTCTGTGAGATCTTCTGTTGTCGATAAGGTCGAAGCTTCAAGTAAACCCAATCGCCAGCTCGAACCGTTCCTCTTGTCTTTCTTACATTCATCCGATTGATCGACCCGTGGGTGTTACCTTTTAGTTTTCGAATCATCAAATCTCGTTCCATTAACTCATGATCAACTTCATCATTTCGAGACTTTCTTAATGGATAGCTAATCAATGTAGGCGCCACTCGACCGTAAACCAACTCAAAAGGAGTAAACTTGGTCGAAGTATGATAAGTAGTGTTATACCAAAATTCAGCCCACGGTGAAAAACTCTCCTCTTTCTTGGAAACTCATGAACATAACATCTAAGGTATTGTTCAAGGATATGATTGGTTACCTCGGTTGGACCGTCCGTTTGAGGATCATACGCCGAACTCATAGCCAATCAGTCCCATGCATATTGAAAAAAATCCTTCCAAAAGTTACTCATGAAGGATCGATCTCTATCTGACACAATGGACCGTGGAACCCCGTGTAACTTCACCACATACTAGGGCAGTTGGCAGTATTGATGCAAATATCATAAGTTCACGTGTAGATGCAGTATTGGCAGTAGCATTATCAAAAGAAATAGAAAACACTTTTTACCAGTTTTATCTTCATCCAAAATTTTTGAAATTAAACGAGCAATAGTAGAGGCAGTGTGACGTTCATGAAATGCAACGTAAGCGATTAAAGATTTAAAGGTTATTTTGCCAATGATCGAACCATATATAAGCACAAATGGATACTATATGGTCTAAAGATTTAAAAGTTTCTTGCAAAATTAATTTTTTTTAACTAACTATTTTTTGAATACCGCGATTAAGAGTAGCACGTGGAACCCGGGTGGCAGCCGAATTCAAAGCCATTTGAAAAATGTTCATGTAAATCTATCACCAAAACTAAATGGAAGAGATGAATCAGAAACAAATTCAACTAAATGACGTCTATGATTTTATCCGAGTAATGAAAAAAAGATGGTGTACATGTACCATTCGTGGCGGATGCAGAGCTACTACTGGGGAATTGAGTTTGTGTCGTGTCAATTCCCAACTTTGTCGGATGAAAGTCCTTTAGGTGTCGGTTCAAGGATCCGTACCCATCGCCTTTTTTGAAATGGTACATCTTCTTGTCATTAGTCGGGCAGTAGTTGCAAACAGCAAAAAAGTGATTCTCACCTCTTTCTGGATTGGGAGTCTTCGAGTAATGTCGTTTGAACATATCGGATCCCGGTCTACCACGCCCGAAGACAAGGACAGGTCCGGGCCGTCTGCCTGCGTCTCTTGCTCGGGCTCCGGGCTGGCACCAAAGAGATCATCCAAATGGTCGTGATACGGCTGCTGGGGCTCTTGTTGCTCTGACTGAATTGAGGCAAACATGGCACTGATCGTTGCGTCATCAATATCATCGTGGACACCAGGAACATCTACATGTATCGATGGACTCGCAAATTCCGAAAATCTGAGGTCTCGAAGAAGATGTGCCGACATTTCTCGGTTTATGTTCGGAGGACAAAGCACGACTACCACCACGAGAAGTCGACAATTTTAATTAAAAAATAAAAAATAACATAAGACAAAATAATGTAGAATATGGTGAAAGGAAAAAAATATGATTTTTTATATATATATTCATTTTTTTTTAATAAACCGAGCACTTAGGGAGAGAAAAGAGAGAAAGATGCAATGTAATGAGAGAGGAGAGAGGAGAGAAGAGAGGAGGATATTGGTGTGGTTTGGAATGTGGGGTATTTATAGGTTAGGATTTATTTATTTATTTTATTTGGTTCCGTCGAGTTCGGGCAGTCCCGACGGGTCG